AGGATGGTACACATGCAATACAAACTGAAGAACCCAAATGACCAATATTTGTATAATGGGAAATTATTGCTTGGGAAGTGGTGAGCTGAACATTCATAGGCTGGGCTAATCAATGACTAGGACACCTAGGACACAAGATAGGAAAACCCATGTTCTCATCAAAGAACTGTAAGTTTCTTCATACCATCTGTGCTTCGCTATCTTCTCTCTCTGTGCAGAAGAGTCATGGTGTCTACTTGTACAGAGTTCCCTGAGCTGGAAACTCCAGGTCCTCCATTACTTATAACTTTGTCCAACTTTAATCGTCTGGCCTGAAATTTTCTATCCCCAAAAAATCCATGTTTCACATTGTAATTTTTAGAAATGTTCTGTCCAAAAACAGTTGAACCCATTTATGAGAACAAGGAAAATGTGTTTCTGTTAAAACATGGTTGTGGCCTTTTCTTTGAAAAGCTTTGTAGCCTCAAGCTCTAAAGCGGGGACTTCACATTTGTCTGGGTAATGTCTTTTTTCCCACATTTTTGCCTTTTGCTTTTCCCTTGATAATTCACTCAAATTTGGACAAATTTCCAAACTCTGAAAAATCGTATTTTGCACATCTGTATTAAAGACTTTGTAGAACTTCATAGGTAAATCTTCAAAACCTTCACGCCTACAGAATATGCTTCTGCCTATGAGTGAAGTAGACTTTGCTTTCAGCTGTAGCCCAGGGCTGTTTTGAGCTAGCATCCGTCACTACGCTTGAGCATACAAGCGCACTGGCAGTTTCTAAAATGGCAAATACTAAACTCAGAGTTAGTAAAGCAAGTGCATTACAAACTTTGTATCACCACTACTAATACAACACCCAATATAGTCTGGAAAAAAATGAGAAATATAATATTACTGCTTGTTAACATGTTAACAATATTGGCCCTAAGCAACATTACCATTTTTAAGCTTTAGGGTGACCTAGCACATTATACAGTCTGTAAGGTTTCTATACTTCAGAACAAAGATGGACATTGGCAACACAGCTCTTGGTTCTGCAAACCTCAGAAACAGTGTGAGGCTGCAACGCTGCCAGATGCCCCAGGGAGCCCCTTTGCTCAAGAGGGAGAGTCAGCAGGCACAACAGTTTGCCCACACATCACATGTTGATGACAGACACAATAATGCACATCTTGAGCAGCGTCTAAACTTTCCTAAATGTTGCTGTTTTGTCCGTCTTCTTCAGAGTACTTCTTTCAGAGTACCTTATTAAAGAGCATTTGTATAGTATAAATACAAAGGCACACACAAAATGCCATGGATGAGTGCCCAACAGTGTGTAAATTAGATTTTGCTCTTTTGCCTCATAGCAGAAGACAGTTTAAAAAGGCTGCTCAAAGGGTAGCCACAAAGCAACCAGCTCTGTGTTTTCCTCTCAAGAAAGACTTAGCTGTGTGGTTTCATCTAATACTGTCAAGAAAAGACAGCAAACTTTGGAAAGAAGTATTGTAGGAATTTGGCAATGCAAAATTAAGAGAGTTTCATAATCAAGTTTGATGCCTGAATTAAGTATAACACTATGTCCTCATTTTCTGTAATCATACCTGCATGTTACCTGTGTGGAAGCAGACCACAGTGTATGCCCTTAATTTGCAAGTAACATGGAAAATGCAAACAGATGGAAAGGCTACAATTCAGAGTAGCACTTAGCTGAGCCCCAGCAAGTACCAGGAGGTTTCTTGCCTTCCTGCAGCAGCTGGGGGAATTTTGCTCAGAATTAGGAGCCAAATTTAGGCTTTTCAATAGCAAGGGAGAATTGAAAATGTGAGCTGGGAAGTCAGTGGGAATGCAGGGAAGCATGAAAGTCCAAGGAAAGCTGCAAGTTAATGAAGGTTAAGAATGCAATATGTAACCACAAGTACGTATGCTTTAAAAAGCATACCACAAATGCTTTATTTTAGGCCACAGTGAGTGGCCTAAATATATAACCCTGAATCATGGAGCTACAGCTGGCTCCTACGTATGCCTGGCACTCTGAGCAGCAGTGAGGATGGGGCTCCTTGTATTTTGCTTGCATCTCATGCTTGGCATCACAAGAAAGCTGCCAAACTGAGCAAAACCAGGAACCTGCATCAGACGTGATCTCATTATCATTCACACTCGTGGTACCCCAGTCTCAGGTGAGTTTTAACACCGAGCAATTCAGTATCGTGTAGATAAGCCTGAGCAAGCAGGCACATCTATATGGTGCAGAGCAGCAAGCACAGATGGTGGCTGCAGAGCCGGCTGCCCCGGGGTGGCACTGTGTCTGGACTGAGCGGCTGGTGCTGATCTGCTGCTCCTGGATACTTGAAGCATAGTGGTAACTCGGCATCGTGCTGGATTGCAGTGTAAACATAATCTGAGCGAGCTGTTGTAAACGCGGAGGCTTACAGGTTCTAATTCTGATTGTAATCTGATTGTTTTAACGGTGATTTTCCTGACTTACAGCAGTATTGTTGAGACTAGAGTCAAACTCCAGAGGTACATAAGAACACCTATACAATTTTAAGCAGCCTGAAACAATAGGATATTGCATTAGTTTAAGTTTCCAAGTGCTTTGTGTTTTACAGTTACACTACTTATTTCTTCATCTTATATAGTATTGTGCAACACTCAGAAACAGACAATCAGAAACAATATTTCCAAGGGACTATTTAATGAAGAATGGCTTGGATCACTCTATAAATTGTAAACAATTTGTACAAGCTCTGTACTGAAGCAATCCCAGGATAAAACATTGCTCAACTGTCATATTATCCACCTTGAGATTTTGTAAAATTAAGAGAGAGGAGGAAAAGATACATAGTCCCAGTCATGGGAAAGAGACAGAGAAACCCAGCGTGGGAGGGCTCTCCATGGAAAGCTGCAAAAGGAAGAGCTAAGGAAGAAAACGGGACAAGGTCAAGTCTTTGAGAAATTCCAGTTGCTGCTCATGAGGATTTATAAGCACCTTGCCAGTGTCCAAAAGGGAAGCCAACGGCTGCCATAGTTAGAAGAAAAACTGAGAACTGAGTCTGCAAACCCTTATTTAGGTAAGTAATTTTTAACACTTACAAAAAATCTCTTAGGGGTTAAGGGGTTTTCTTGGAAAAGGGAGGACTGTGGCAGAGAGAGAAAAATTTCCCCTCAAAGGGCAAATGAAGGCTCCCCAGGTGGTGTAATTCCTCCTCCTTTATCAAACTTTTACCTCCACAACAAGGACTCTTGTCCACATACATAAAGCACCTTCATTCAGAGTCGCAGAGGTACTGAATCGCTGGGAAAGAGGAGACAATAGCACAGAGGCCACACACTCCCTGCGTTTTGCATTCCTGTCAAATCAATCAGGATTTTTAACAGATTAGGCCCGAATTCCTTTCCCTTAATCCCAAACCCACCCACTTCTGCCCCTTCAACTCCTTTTCTCTTCCACATCTTACATCAAGTAGGGTTTTCTAGGCCTCAGAAATAATTCATTTTAGGTGGTGTACGTTTTCAGTGATTCAGTCTTCGATGCCTAAGAAAACTAACTTTGACTCAGGAATTTGGGACTGGCTTTAGCAGGACCTGCATCTGATCCCTAGAACTGGGAAAAAAGAAACATGCACTATCTAAGAGCAATTCTGAACTTCTGTGCTTCTAGAAACAAAAGAAGCGAGAAGAGTAAATAAAGAGGTAGGCAGGGGGGCAATTTGTCGAATATAACAGAGACCAAGGGTCTGATCATCCATTGCCTGCATTTTGAACCACACTAATTCATTGGTGTGATAAAATGCTTCACCCAAGCTATGCTTGATTGTAAGGGACTAATCAAGGTCACATAGGATCAGAGCCTAGAAAATTGGGTGAACGTTCATTGCATACAGTCAAAATAGTACTCAGGCTGTAACAGATGCAATAGTAAGCCAAGACTGTAAATATCCTGGTTGTACAGCACATAGTACAGGCGGAACAGCTGGTACTACAACAGAACAAAACATCTAAAATAGATTTTTCTTTCTCTCCTGCCTAATAGCAACAGAACTCCTGAAGACCAAAGAGAATGGGGGAAAAAAAAGAAATTAATGTTTTCTTACAGCATAAAAAAAAAGTACCAGGACTTGTAATTCCTGGGCTCATGCCTTAAACTGTGAATCTGCAGCTCACGATAGTGAAAATGTGCTCCTTCCTCTGTACTGCCCGCTGGCAGCCAGGAAGCAATCCCACTTGCACTATGGTGTTGAGAAAAAATGTCAGTGGGATGCAAAGCATACAGTGCACTGGACCCACGCTCACCCACTGGACATATGGGAAACAGTGGGGTGGGTGCAGGGCCACTTGCAGCAGAGGTAAGAAATGGCACAGCATGTCACCTCCCGCAGCCCCATGCTGAGGTGTTCTTCCTTCTACCAGTCGCAAACAGAGTTTGGCCACCTTGAGGACACTGTTTCTTTATAAATTCAGATTTACATGGGAGCTGGAATGGAATCTGTTCTGCTTGCTCCAAAGTAAATGGCAATCTCTCACTTTGACTGCAATACAACCACTTTAAGTGCTGCAGCGAAGAAAGGATTTAGGGACTTATTAACAAGAGCTCTAATGCCTGGGGTTTAGGCAACTGATTACCATGGTCACCAGGAAAAAGGCAAATTTACCTCCTGGCAATGGCAAATGCCCAGCACTGTAATCCAGGGCTCAGGTAACTGATCCAAGCTAGTCCTTGCCACCCAGATCCAGTGCCCAGAACATTCTTCGCAGGGAGAAGCCCGTGTCTCTTCTTTGACATGTGACCAATGAAAGAGGGAAGGGTGGCCGTCAGGGTGGGACAGGCCACTTCGTCACAGCTGAGTGGTTACAGCATGTGAAATTTGGTTTCAACCTTCTGATGGTGATGGAGAGATCAAACTGCCTAGTGTCCCTCCAAGCTTGCCCCAGCCTTAATGCCATAGGGATGGAGCTATCTTTGCTCCTCTTTGAAGCTGGGCCATGTGCTGGGCTGGACTGCAGGATCCTTCCAGTTCGCCCCAGAGATGGGGCTGGGAAGAGGGAAGCTCACTTTTTCTGGCACTGCTCGGAAAAAGTGGTTTAATGCCTCTGTCACTTGGCAACGGCAGGAAGAAGCACAGTGCACTCTGGGGCACGCAGAGAGGTATGGCTGATGCTAGTCTGAGCAAGAGGTAGTCAGTGGCTCCTCCACTGACTGGAGGAGCCCGGGACAGTGACAGAAGCCAGGATTACACCTCTTAGCAAAGACAGAAGCAGTAGCAGCCTGGCCAGGTCTGGGTTCACACCCTGAGCTGGGCTGACTCCCAGCATCTAATTTTGTCTAATCCCTAAATGCTACCGAAACACCTTCTTTTCTTCTCATGACGTGACTGTAGAGAATCTGAAATAAATGTTGTCTTTTTAAATCTTGCTTGGTACAGCAAAAACGACGACAACAAAGCAAGAGCGTTCTGATTCCTTGGGGAACGGTTTCCTTGATGCCTGGGGGTTTTGCAGCCCCGGTTCCCCCCGGAAAGCCCGGGGGGGCTTGGAGCGCCGCACCCGCACGCCCCTCGCCATCCCTCCCGGGGCGGGCGGAGGTGCCAGATTCGAGAGCAAAAAGGCGCCGCTTAAATGAGAGAAGCGAGC